AAAAAAAAAAAAAAGGAAAAAAAAAAAAAAAAAAAAAGAAGAAAAAAGCTCGTGAGAGTACCGTCATAAGCAGTAGCCTCCTGGATTGCAGTGGGTTTCAGAGCTGAAATTCTTGCTGTTGAAGCAACTCTTTTTTTGTTCTTGATTAATTTCGTACTCATTTGCATTCTTTATCGATCGTCTCCTCCATTTCTCTCAATCTGCGTGATTTACCGAGCGGCATTGCCTTTTTTTGGCGACATTTGTCGTGCAGTCAGCTCGGAGCGTTTGATTCTAATGCGAGTTCGTGGTAATTTCTGATGAGGATTATAGTTTGAGCTCGAGAATCGTCTTTGATTTGATTGTGCAGCTTTACGATTAGGAGACTGAAGGGGAGGTAGAATGTTTACTGAAGGACTCGATAAAAGTGCCGTTCGATGGGCTCGCGAGGTCTCAATCTGTTGCAATACCTGTTATTTTGGCTTTTAATTTGTTTATATGGTCATTTTTTGTGGGCGATGGTTTTGATTGTTTTTGCACTTTTGAGTTCTTGATGTTGGAATTTCTGCTATCATTTGATTTCCTTGGTTAATCTAGTGAGTTTACATATAATTTTTTTTGGTTTGATTTGACAGACGGATGTCACGTTTGGTGCTTCAAAATTGAGGTCTCGACCCGATCCGATCACCGGCGTCCGAGCGGGTACTGGAGCAAGAGGCTTTGGACTACCACCGCCGTCGAAGTTTAGAAGTGGGCACTTGCCGGCGAGTGCCATTCCAGTCTCCAGAACCGTTTCTAGTCATGCGGACGAAAGTGCTTCTGCTTCAGAGAATGACATGTCTACTGATTCCGAAGCGGATGTTTATGGAGTTAGATATTCCTTCGACTCATCTCCCCAACACAACAGGGTCCCAAATCGTTCAAATTATAGATATGGAAATTCTTTGCAAGGCAGGCCAAAGAATGGGAGTGATTACTTTTTCTCCGATGTTAGTTCATCGAGGGAAACGTTGGTGGGGGCTCATAGGCAGATGCCTGAAAGGATGTGGAGTAAAAATGGGAGGTACCCAACCAAGCAAAATGGTTATACAGAAGAGGATTCTTCTGATTCTGCTGTAAGTTCTGAATTTTCTACTACTCATGTGGGTGGAAGTATTAATGGGGCTTTGCCCAGGAATAGGGATTCTATTGCTTCAGAGGGATACTTTTCAGGCCTGCCATCACGCATGGATGTGGGAAATGCACCTAAAAAGGTTTACATTTCTTTGAAACTTCTAAGCTTGTAAGGCATGAGAAGTGATTTTGGTGACGTCTATGGTGTTTCCCTTTTCTTGTTTGTCAGATTGTTTTTTAAAATCAGCTCGAAGTTCTGTTGCTTGAAGCAAATTTCATTATAGGAAATAGTGAAATAGGAGGGTGTCGATCTCCCCGGAAATCCAGTTTGGAGTGCAGTGTATTTGAATGCCCACTCTTTGGTGTTCTTACGCTGTATCAATCCAAACATAGTTCATTGGATAAGACACACACTACCATCCCGAG